GGAGCGCCAGCCACAGCCCCCGCACCAACCCGCCGCACCACCCTCACCGGCAGCCTCAGCAGCAGCCTCAGCAGCAGCTCACCTGAAGTTTCTTCAGCTGCTTCAGAGCCTCGTCACGGTTCTTGTTGGCCATGTCGATTCCAGCCTCCAGCTCCTTCAGGTCCAGCTCCAGCTTCTTCCGCGCGGCCACAGCAGCAGAGCGTTGTTTCCTCTCGTCCTCCAGCTCCATCTCCATCTCCCGCACCTGCAGGAGTGAGGAGTGAGGAGTGAGTCACGGCCGCCGCAGCAGCAGCATCATCTCAGACACTGACAGAGACTGGATGAAGCATCAGCACCTGTTTGACCAGAGCTCTCTTCTTCTCCTCGCCCATCTCATCTCGTCCTGCCAGGTCCCTCTCGTACTGAGCCTTCATGGCCTGCATGTTCACTTCCAGACGCAGCTTGGCGTCCTCCGTGGCCTGCAGCTCGTCTTCCAGCTCCTCCAGTTGAGTCTTCATCTCTTCCAGCTGCTGCTCCAGTGAACGTTTGCCCTTCTCCAGCTCGTGGACCTGTGGACGGAGAGGGTCAGTGGCGATGAGTCAGCAGACCGTCGGGGATTCGACCACAGAGGTTTTAAACACTCACACTCTTGCCGACGTCGTCCTTTGAGGAGACCAGGTCCTCCATTTCAGCCCGCAGCAGTTTGTTGTTGCGGTCCAGTTCTTCTTTCATGTCCATCAGAGATTCCAACTCCCGAGTTAAAGCCAGAGCTCTGGTCTCCTTCTCACGAGCCTCGGCTTCAGCTCGGTCTCTCTCTTCTGCGTATCGTGCAGAGATGTTCTTCTCCTCGGCCAACATCTTAAAAAAAAAAGAAAAGAAAAAGTGTTTAAAAAGCAGTGGTGGGATTCAAACGTCAGACATGGAACAACAGGGATCAGACTTTCTGACCTGGTCAAACTTCTTCTGCTTCTTCTCCAGGTTGGAGACGATCTGTCTCAGATGGTCCTGATCCACCAGCAGGTCGTCCAGCTCCTGCTGGAGGCGTGTCTTGGTTTTGTCCAACTTGTCGTAGGCCGTACATTTCTCCTCCAGGCGCTGGTTTGCCGACTCCAGGTCCCTCTGGAACCTCTTCTTTCCCTCCTCGGTGGTCTCCAGGACCCCTGCGTCTTGCTCTATCTTCTTCCTCATTTCAGCGAGCTGCATGGAAAGAGATGTTAGTGAGGTGTTAGTGAATGAAGACCTGAACAAGGCAGTGAGGATGAAGGAGAGGAGGTGAGGAGCTCCACCTGAGCCTGCACAGTCAGGAGCTGCTTCTCCACATTCTTCTTGGCTGATTCTTCTTCCTCCAACTGTTCCCTCAGGTTGTTCTGGTCGTCCTCCAGCTGACGCATGCGTGTGCCCAGAGACAGCTTCTGACGCGTCTCCTCTTGGAGAAGTTCCTGTTGTAGAGATCAGAGAATGAAACAGAGTTTTAAGAAGCAGAGAAACTTCATCAGACGTTCTTTAAATCCATGACTTTGTTTCTTTCCAATGACCTGAACATCCTGGAGCTGAGACTCCACAGCAGAACAGTCCTTGGTCGCTTTGATGGACTTTCCCTCCACCTCACTGAGCACCATGTTGACGTTATCAAGTTCAGCCTGTAGGGGGTGCACAAACACAGAAATTGACCTCTCAAAGAAGATTCGGCAAACGTTCTCCATAAAAGTAGAAATAAGAAGAATAAGGACAAGCAGAAATCATGTGACCTGGAGTTTGGACAGTTTCTCCGCCTGCTCCACCCTCTGACGCTCACTCTCGGTGAATTTGACCTGCAGCTCCTGGACGTGGGCTTCAGCCTTCTTCCTGCGGTGCTCAGAGTCTCCTTTACCCTGCATCAGCGTCTGCAGCTCGATGGCCAGCTCGTTCCTCTCCGACTCCAGAGCCTGCTTGGTCTTTTCCACTGAAACTTTGTTCTGGAAGAGAAATCATCAGGTTGAGATGAGGACAGAGGGTTGGAAGATGAAGATGATGAAGAAGAAGAACATTCACCCTCTTGGCCTGCTCCAGCTGCTCGTTGAGCTCATCGAAGGCCTGGCTGTGTTTCTGTCTCATCTCAGCCAGTTGGTGTTCGTGGACTTTGGCTTCTTCTTCCAGGGTCTTCTTCAGATGGGTCACCTCAGTTTCTCTCTTGGTCCTGTGGAGACAAGGCTGATGTTGATCTACTTCTCTGAGGTGGGTCCACAGTGGATCTGAGTCCCAGGGGTCCATGTCTGTACCTCAGTTCCTGTTGGGCAGCAGTGTAGTCCTGTGTGTCTTCCAGCTCCGTCTTCAGGGCCTCCAGCTCCTCTCCCAGGTCCCTGCGGTGTTTCTCAGCCTTGACCCGGGCCTGTCTCTCCAGCTCCAGGTCCTCCTGCAGTTCAGACAGCTGAGCCTCCAACTCACGGATCTTTTTCTGGGCCATGTTCTTTTGGGCCGCCTCCTCCTCAATCCTTTGGGGAAAGATATAAAAATGGAACTTTGATCCCCATCATCAGCTCAAACTCAACAGTGAACGACGACGACGACCGAGTCCAGACCTGGCTAGAGCTGCCTGTAGTTCTTCCTCCTTTTTGGCCAGTTGGGCTCGGAGCTCGGCGATCTGGGCCTGGAGCTCGGCGATCTGGTCGTGGATCTCAGTGAAGTCACCCTCAATTTTGCGACGGTTCTTCTCCAGTTCCTGGCGCTGCTTCTCCTCCCTGCGCAGGCGGTCTGACAGGAGAAAAGGCAGGTAAAAAAATAAAAATTGGTAACATGTATTTGACTGTAATGTCTGTTTTTTTTGGGGGGTGGGGGGGGGTGTCTGTTCTCACCTTCCAGGTCTGTTATCATGGCCTCATGTTTGGTCTTAAGTTTCTGCAGACTCTTGGATTTCTCCTCCTCCTCAGCCAGGTTGGTGGTGAACTCAGAGATTCTCTCCTCCATCAGTTTCTTCTCCTGTCATTCAGATTTCAATATTAGGTTCAATCCGTCTTTTCTGTGAAATTACAGTTGGTCCATTCCACAGACGGACGCCGACCTTCATGAGCTTGTTGTTCTGGTCATCTAAAACCATGACGTCATCCTCTATCTTCTTCATCTTGGCCTCCAGAGTCACCTTCTCCAGCTGGAGCTTCTGCCTGGCGGCCTCCTCCTCGTCCAGCTGCTGCTCCAGGTCCTGTGAACGACAACATGAAGGTAGCTGCGGTGTTAGCCCAGGGTCCAGGTTCTCCATCGAAGAGGATTAAAGACGGTCTCCACTCACGGCGATGTTCTGCTGCATCTTCTTTTTCTCTGTAACCAGGTGAGACGCACGCTCCTCCTCCTCCTCCACACGGGCCTCCAGATCGTGGAGGATCTCCTCCAGTTCCTGCTTCCTCGCGGCCAGACGAGCTCTCATCTCCTCCGCCTCGGCACAAAGCTCCGTTTCTGCTTGGAGCTGCTCCTGCAGGGCCATCTTCTCAGCACTTAGCTGAAAATAAAAAAACCTTCACAGTGAGAGTTTGTCACCACAGAAGCCGGTGTTCGTCCGGCACTTCCTGTCACCTGCTGTTGCTTTTCCTCCATCTCCTGCAGCTGCTGCTCAGCAAACAGATGTTTCTCCTTCACTTTAAGCAGCTCATCGTCCTTGGCCTGCAGCTCCTCCTCCTGTCTGCTGACCTGCAGCAGGGGCTTCACCTGAAGGCAAACGGGGGGGGGGTGATAAGGAGTTGAGTTGACAAGGTGAAGGTGGTTGAGAACCAGGTTCAAGCAGCAGCAGCAGCAGCAGCAGCATCTCTACCTTGGTGAAGAGCCTCCACCACTGCCAGTTCCTGAGTTTGAGGTAGGCAGCACAGTTCCTCTGGATCACCTTCATAGCAGTCAGCTGCTGCTGCCTCTTGGCGAAAGCCCTGCAGAGAAATAAGACCACGTTCAAGCGATGCAACAGAAGAGCAGCCGGCCAACCCGACGACCTCTCTGTACTCACCTGCGGGCCACGTAGCCTCTGCACCAGGCCTGGAAACTGATGATGATGTCAGTGATCTTCATGTCTCGCTCCTCCTCCAGGTGAGCCAGGACGCCGGCCCTGAAGAAAACTTTGCTCTGACCCATACGGTACAGGTTTGAGTCCAGCTCCAGGCTTTTGATCTGGGACAACAGGAAGTTGAGTCATAATCAGTGACGGTCTTTTCTTTGTTCACACATCGTGAGGTTCTGGTTCTGGTCGTACCATGAGCAGACAGGCTTGTTTTCCATCCATGAAGCCCTTTGGAATGGCATTAGGAGTCAAGATTTCATACCTGTGTGGGGGGAGGTGGGGAGGTGGGGAGGGGGGCAGATGAGAGGATTTAGTATTTTATTGAACAACAACATCAAAGAGACAGACCGCAGCGTTGTCACGACCTCTGTCTGAACTCCTGGAAGACGATGCGGTTGGGGAAACCCTGTCTGCAGATACGGATGCCCTCCAACACACCGTTGCACCTCAGCTGGTCCAGAACCAGGTGTGGGTCCAGTTTACCAGCCTGTGGGGAGACTGTGTTTGTCAGTAGACTGATTCTACAGTAACTGCAGACACTGAACTTCACCACTAGAGGTGACACAACAGAACTTCAGAACCAAAACAACATGGTTTGTGGGTTCCACGCTGCCCCCATCTTCTCTACTCTCTGAGGAGAACCACTCCTACAGAGTATGACTTCAATACCTTCTTCTCGTGGTTGGGGATGATGCAGCGGACAAAGTTTGGGTTCGTGTTCCTCAAAGTGGCCATCAGCCTGGACAGCTGCTCCTTGTACAGCTGGCCCACTGTGCGGAACATGCCTTTCCGGGTCTTGAAGGCACCAGGCATCTCGGACATGCCAGACACCTTATCCAGCCCCACGATGTGGTCCACTGCAGAGGGAAACAGACCGACAACCAGGGATGGAGGAAGTTACTCCATGAAAATAAAATGAAGGGTTCAGCAACTCAACAAACCAACCAAGAAAATTCAAACCAAACACAAGGCACCGAACAAGACAAATACAACCACTGACCGTCAGCTGTCTGTTGGCAACTGTACCAGGAGACAGCTGAGGTGGAGGAGTGGAACAACACACACACACACACACACACACACACACACAGACAGTGGAGTGAACATGGATGGGTCAAGAAAGTCCAGTGAAGTGAGTGAAACCACAACCAAACACACCATGACACCAGGAGTACTGTGTGTGTGTGTGTGTGTGTGTGTGTGTGTGTGTGT